TTTGAAAGTTCTGAAAGGACCGAATTTATATGATCTGAACATGAAATGTCGTCGGGAGTAAATAGGAGATTCGTGTCGTCGGCAAATAGTATACATTTAGTTCCAATAGATATATTATGAATGTCGTTTATGTAGATTAGGAATAGAAGTGGGCCGAGGATTGATCCCTGAGGTACACCAATGGAAGTTAAGGCCTTTGAAGATTGGTAATTGTCAATAGTGACGTATTGATTCCGATGTGAGAGATAACTTTGAATCCACCCGAGAGCTTCTCCTCGAATACCATAACAACTTAATTTATCAAGTAAGATGCTGTGATTAATAACGTCAAATGCTTTCGAAAGGTCTAAAAACAAACCAACTGAGAGTTTTTTGTCATTGAGTTTGGAGAGGATGTGATGGACATAATCGAGTAGAGCAAGTTCCGTTGAGTGGCTAGGGCGAAAACCATATTGGTTGTTGCAAATAATTTTATGTACTTCAAAGAAAGAAAATAGTCTGACATAAACTGCTTTTTCTAGTAATTTTGACAACGGAGACAGTAGAGAAATCGGCCTGTAGTTATTATATATATATATATATTAATATATCTATATATATATGATTATTGCATACATCACACTTAATATATCAGTGTATGTTAATTTATTTTAAATTGGTGTGCTTATATTGTATTGTAATTTCTCAGCCCACGACGTGTTTGGATGGCAAATAAATAGTTAAATATGACCAACATATCACCATTTGTTTTGCTCGGTAAGAACTGCTGATGTAGCTGGAATGCTTGTTTCCATCTGGGTGGGTGTTCGTTGTTTATAAGCTGCCACAGATGGTATATGTTTGTCTGAAGTGGATGTTGTCTTTTGTACGTGCCGTCGTTCTATTATATTGACTCGTGAGTTTCTCGTTGTTAAGTTATTATTATCTATTTCGAACTGTTTGTAGGTGCATAAAAAATTGATATTTATACGTTGAACCACGTAAAACCATGCAACATCAACATCTACAGTTTGAGGTCAGCACTGAATTTCGAGGCAGATGTGAATAAACGATCAGCCCGATAAACAAAGAGCATATATTATACATACGTACAGCCTTCTATGAACTCCATCCGTTTACGACTGGTCACAATTGTGGGTGAAAGTGGGTAGTATATCGTGCATTTGAACGAGTCTGCGAGTTTACTAAGCATGGCCGATGAAGAGAACTTAATAATACAGATAACTTTAAACAATTGTATTTGTCCAACTAAGTTGGTGTGTGTGTATATAATGGTAAGAGGCAATATTATTTTAATTTTTTAAAAACTTAGGCCATTCGACGATACAGGTCTGTAATGTGCGTAATGGTTTAGTACTGGTCTAAACCATATTTATGGTTGAAGTATGGGTGGAAGTGTATTTATATGTTTTTGTGAACGATCACACATATCTGCCAATGTTCAGTTTTTTTTTAAGTTCTTCACTCACTCAGTCATTCATGCTTTCGTTGGTTGAATGTGTGTGAACCACACATTCGATAATTTCTTGAATGTTCATTCACATGTTCACGCACTCGTTGGTTGCATGAACCGCAAAAGTGAACGAAGACAGCTGCATGCGTTAAGGCGAACGATGAGGAGCATGTTTGTGTTACATACTCCATGTATACTCCATACATTCCATGATCCATCTTATTGCTTACAATTGCATCTGTGAAGAACGTGTGTGTCTTGTTATTATTAATGCATTGTACGTTGTCCTTTCACGAATGTTGTTCTTTTTGTTGTTTTGCTGCAGACGCGTGAGCAATGGTGAACTTTGGAGCTGTAGTAAATTTGTAAAAAAAAGTTGAATTGTTGAAAAGGTTCCACAACAGTTAAATTAAGATACATTTTGCATAGTGAATATAATTTTAATAGCGAAATTAATAGAGAATATAGTCATGAGCTGGAAAAGGTTGCCAACTGCTTTCGAATAAATTTAACCCTCCCCCCTACAGCAATGTCTGGCAACGCCACTGTTTGGCTTTGTTACTGATTTCGATGTTGATTGTGTTGCTGTCACTAGAAGAATAAGAAGAAAAATAATTGTTTTTATCAGCATTTCATCTGATTGTTTTTTTGTATCAAAATCACCTGAATATGTTTTGTTTAGTGATTTGAAAATGTAAATATTTGATTGTATGTTGTGTCATCATGTTTGTCTCACATGTTATGCTCTCATACTTAACCACTTTGTTTGTCCATTATCCAACATGTGTGCTTGTTTGGATTGAACTCAATCCCTCATTGCAGTTCATTCGCAATCTTAGTTTGGTATCCTCTCATCCAAACAATTTGACCTCGTTACAAAAGTTATTTCTTAATTCAATTAAACTGATACACAGTTATGCTGTAAAACCACACAGCTCACATTCTCCATTTCATTAAGTAAAACTATTATGACATGATATGTAATCCATTTAATTAAAAGCCATACATAAGTAAGTTACTGTATAATATACTCTTTATTAACAAAACAATCTATCCAAACAGCCATCAATCCAATCAACCATCCACCTTTCAATCTTTTTATTAAACCATCCTTCCAACCTAATATCCATTAATCCATCCATCTATGGATGGATGGATAGACGGACGGCTGGACGGACGGATGGATGGATAAGTGGATAGTTTGATTGATTCATCCACCCATGTATTCACTCTTTGCCTCATGCGTGCACTAACCCGCTGACTTATTAACCACGTTATCCAACATAAGACTTCCATCATTAATTTCGAACATCATGATAAGAATGTATGACGGGGTTAGTCTTCTTCCGTCAGTTTACCATTTGAAACTTAACATTTCATTTCCATGTTCCACATACGTTCAAAAATGATGTCATCATCATCATCATCCAATTCCTATAATTTTTTTCACATTCCCAGGAAGAAAACATCAACATCAACGACCAACTTGTCGAGCCAGCTCAGCAGTCGATGCAAGAACAGTTACTCCAACAGTTTTTTAAATAACACCAACAACGACGACGACAGCAACAACATCAGCAATAACATCAATGTCAGCAGCAACAAAAACAACTGCAACAACATCAATAATAACTGTTTCAACACTCTCAGCTCAAACCCCGACTACCACAGCAACACCAACATGACCAACGACAACATCAACAACTGTGACGACATATCTACAAGCAACAACAGCCGCAACTGTGGTAGATGTAGCAAGAGCTGCAGCGACAACAAGCGCAACAACATTCACACAAACAAGAACAAAAAGATTGATCATTCCATATTACGACCCAAAGTCCAGTCGTCTCCGCACTCCAAGAAACGCAACATGATACACCGCACCTGCCATCTCACGAATGCCTACGAAAACGTAAGTGTGGTTGAACGTAATTATAGAGATGTATGTTACGTTTGTATGTTGTGTTTGTATGTTGTGTTTGTATGTTCTGCTTGTGTGTTATGTTTGTATGTTGTGTTTGTATGTTATAGTTGCATGTTGTGTTTGTGTGTTATGCTTGTATGTTGTGTTTGTATGTTGTGTTTGTATGTTGTGTTTGTGTTATGTTTGTATGTTGTGTTTGTATGTTATGTTTGTATGTTAATGTTAGTGGTGTGCATGTTCATAAGGTGGTGTGCACGTGTTGAGAGAAAATCTTCTATGCACAAATTGTATCTAATATTAATAGCATGTTTTTTGATCATTTAGTTGTTTGGTATTATAAACCTAGTAATAAATCAATTGAATTAAAAGATAATACTTAATTTTAACCTCATCTTCTGTTTTTTAACATAATGTTATCGAACTTCAACTGGTTACTTGATTCATTTGCACAAATTTATTGAATATTATTAATTTTAATATGTTGAAATTCAATATATGCTGATATAGTTTCTTGTTAGATTCTTCGCATAACTCAGGCAGAGAAAAATAACTTGAACTTGAACAACCCATAATGGCCGAGAATTGTTGTCCCTATATTATATTTAAGTTGTACGCACATTTGTATGCGTAGGTTGTACGCACATTTGTGCATTCCATCCCGTGCTAGTTTTGCGCTTGTTGTTTGTTTAGTTGTCATCGTGTTCAATGCATGCAAATGCTGAATGCAAGCGTTGAGATTCACTCACGACGAACCAACGCAACATACAACGCTGGAAGGGAGCTTGTTAGAGCTGGTCCTTCCATGCGTGGGTGCTTGCCTGAGTATGTAAGTCTATACGCGCGAACCTGTGAGTTTGTGTGTATGCATGTTAATATACAATTCATATGAACGAGTTAAGTTGTTGATTCAACAAAGTAGATTAGAAACACAGTTCATATTTATAAATATTTGGGCATCTGGCACACACAAAACGTATCAATTGGAACACCGAAGATGGCATAGGAATACCGGAAAAAGATTTTTGTTCTATCATGCATATAATAAACAAAAATTTTGGTTTTGAACTCAAAAAATTTGAAAATGAAATCATTTAACGATCAACCGTTAGAAAAATGGAAAAGTTAAATTGGAAGTTAACTAACACCGAACATGCTGTGGTTTTCAACAATAATTGCATTTCTGACAGTCTTAATTCAATATATATATATATATATATATATATATATAAATAAAAATGCATGAGAATATATATAAAAATCATAAAAATGATATCAATGAAAAGAAATGATCTGGAAATCGAAAAGAAAATATGGTTTTCTTGTAATGATCACCAGTGACAATTTTAAAAATAAGAGCATATTTTAAATATTTTAGTGCATGTAAACTCACATTCATATTACAAATCCTAAAAAACCAAAAATGGAATCGAAATTATTAAGTAATCAACTCTTTTACATTTTTATCAGAATGTCGGTTGTAATTATTGAAACACAAATATATATATAGACCCACGTAAAACATACTTATTCACACACACACACATACACACACACATGTGCACACACACACGTACATGAGCCCACACAAAAAGTTAAGGGGGTTTAATGTTAAAAAGTAGGATTTGATGTTTTTTTTAAATTTTACAACGGATTTTGCTTCTTTCAAATATTCAGGTAATTTGTTCCACGTCTTAGGTCCGACGACTCTCATGCTTCTTTTGATAAGTTTCAATCTGTTTTTTTCAATATAAAATGTTGAGGTATGTCTTGTGTGTTTTAACTGGATAGCGTTACTATAAATAAACAAATTATTAAATTTTTTTGGAATTAAGTTGTTAATAAGTTTAAATATAAATATTGAGATGCATGTGTAATAAATTTGCTTTATTGAAAGTAGTTTTGCAATCTGAAAATAAATAGAGGTGTGGTCATTAAATTTTAAATCGAATAAAATTTTTATAAAACGTTTTTGACATTTTAACAGGGGATCTAGCAGGACTATTTCCCCATATGATCACGCAATAATGAATATAAGGGTATATAAAGCTATAATACAAATCTTTTAATATTGTGGAATTATTCTTATTTTTGATTTTATAAAGTACACCTTTGAATTTATTGATTTAAGATTTAAGATTTTCAATGTGATTACTGTAAGACAAATTATCTTGCAGAACTAAACCCAAAAAAACAACTTGATTGGTTCTATTTAATTTCACAATGCTGAACACACATATATACATATACGTATATATTATTAGTATTAGTATTAATATATGCTTTTTAAATTGTTATCCCAAAAGCGCTCATAACAATGATTAAAGCAAATTATAACAAGAAAACATGTCACTGCTCGAAGAGATACGTCTTTAACAGCTTTTTAAAACTGTTGACGGAGAGACCAGGCTGTCGCAAGTAGCTCGGTAGACTATTCTATACTTCTGGACCAGCAATAGAAAAATTTCTGATCCAATCTTCAAACGTGATGCTGGATGGCCAACCAAGTTCTTACCTTCACGACGTAAATTGTATGGGTTTTTTTTAAACGTTGCTTTAGAAAGCTAAATACTTCGGGGCGAGTCCATTTATGACCTTAAACATTAGAAGCAAAATTTTAAATGTGACTTTTTTATCAATCTTCAACCAATGTAGTTCTCGAAATATTGTAGTCACATGGTCATATTTTGCAGCTCCCACAACAAGCTTGGCAGCACGATTCTGAATGAGATGAAGCATAGCTATCATTTTTCAGGTAGCCAGAAAAACAAACTATTGCAGTAATCTAACCTTCAAGTTCACTCCTCAACAAAATGTTCAATTCATCAATTTTGTCAATTCTAGTGTTGAGCGCATCATTGCTATCACGTAGAGCTTTAGTTAATGACTTTACGTCGGGAAGTAGTTTCATGCATTCATCACAGAACCACTTAATATTAGACATGGAACTGAGAACTTTGAAGGCTGATCCACCTATTCCAACACATTCTTGGTGAAAAGCAAGTTGGCATTGAAAGCACTGAATTGCCTCCTCATCCTCTACATTTCTAGAACATTGACATCCTTTAATCGACATTATTATTTCAAAAAAATGTTTCCAAATCAATTAATAAAATTATATTATCAATGTTTTTAGAAAGTTAGCAGTCCGCAAGAATCAACACACAAAACAACAAACACTTCAACTTTCAAAACAATGCAACTTCTATAAACTATCCTTTATTGTTTACAACTTCAACTTTATTGCCGCGAATTAAAAATTTAAACCAAGAAATAGTGAAAAATAAAACAAAATTAACTGCAAACAACCAACTGAAACAAAAATTATATCCTCCTATTCTTCTAAATTTACACTATAAAATAATATCAAAATTAAATCAAACAATCATATCCTATAAAACTTTAGAAAAAAAAATATATATGTATATATGCATACATACTGACTATATCTAACTATGACATATATATATATATATATATATATATATATATATATATATATATATATATATCTGTCTGTGTGTGTGTCTGTGTGTGTGTGTGTGTGTGTAAGTGTGTCGTGTGAATGAACGCCTCTCACATTGAGTATAATAGACATACATGAATCTCTCTGCTTTTGAGTCTACCTACATAGTCACTGCAACGCCTTCCACCTTTGCGCTAAAATTATGATTTTGTCTGTCTTCTGTTTTGTGGATGTGGCGAATTTAAAATGAACGTTTTGTATGAAAACATCACTAACTCTCGAATGAATGACATTTTATTGAAAGATATATTTATCGGTAGGACGCAACGAACACGATGCAACTTCTCGTAAAAATATTTTGGCCAACATTATTAACCTCTTTTACATTAAACGCTAACCAGTAACTGGCAGCAATAACATCAACTGAATGTCTCATTTACTTCATCTGAGAACACCTCCAGACTATGTTTACTTTCAGTAGCCTAATTTTGTGTTCCATCAACACAATGTATTTTTGCATGAATTATAATTGTATGGTTATGATATGATAGAATGTAAATACTTATTATGTGTGTGTGTGTGTGAGTGTGTGAGTGAGTGAGTGAGTGAGTGAGTGAGTGAGTGAGTGAGTGAGTGAGTGAGTGAGTGAGTGAGTGAGTGAGTGAGTGAGTGAGTGAGTGAGTGAGTGAGTGAGTGAGTGAGTGAGTGAGTGAGTGAGTGAGTGAGTGAGTGAGTGAGTGAGTGAGTGAGTGAGTGAGTGAGTGAGTGAGTGAGTGAGTGAGTGAGTGAGTGAGTGAGTGAGCGCACCTTTACAAGGCACGTGCACCTGTGTGTTGAGATGTTGTGTTTAACTCAGCCAGCGAGGACTAACTTAATGGATATTTATTTTGACAATTACAACTTGAAACGACAGTTTGTTGTTTTGTTTAAACGTCAAAATGTAAAAATAAGGAAGAAAATGTTTGTTCATTTGATTCAACTGGTTTGTTTTCCTCGCGTTGAATCCATTTAAACTTAGTGAATTTATGTTTGTGTAATGCTGTGTGTACAGTACAGTAAGTACACGAGTACTTAATCATGCTTACAAACTTAATTCATTATTTATACGTGAACAAATGCTGCCCAACAAACCTAATGCGGCAAGTTCATTTGACCTAAATCGCATGTACACACACTTCTTCATCTGTAAATGTGTGAAACACGTACATGTATGTGTGTTTAAATTTTTATCGAAACAAATTTGAGTGAGCTGTCGAAGTGATATGAATGCGAAATGTTGTAAGAGCATTTCGTTACATTTTATCCAGACCAATGTACTGGAAATATTTCATTTAACATTTTTTTTAGCAGTCAGCATCAACTTCAAAAAATCGAGCATTCACATTAATGAGAAAAGTTTATAAGTTCAAGAAAAATAACTTATTAGTGTTGGTTGGTTTGTTGGTTTTTTGTTGGTTGATTTTTTGGTTGGTTGGTTTGGATGGTTGGTTTGGATGGTTGGTTTGGATGGTTGGTGTTGGTTGGTTTGTTTGTTGGTTAGTTGGCTGGTTGGTTGATTTTTTTGTTGGTTGGTTTGGATGGTTGGTGTTGGTTGGTTTGTTGGTTGGTTGGTTAGTTGGTTGGTTGGTTGGTTGGTCGGTCGGTCGGTCGGTCGGTCGGTTGGTTGGCCTAACTAATTTAAACTTTTGTTAAATGTTTTGATTAAAATAATAACTATATTGCAAAGTCTATAACGAAAATTAAAAGTGAGAGAGAGAAAGAAATATAACAAGCACTTGTGAGAACTACAAAGACTTAATATTTATAAGGACATGAAGACATACTTAAAGATAGAACAATAGATCGGAATCGTTAAATATAATATATAAAAAGTCTGCTGATGCTACGGCGCGCCGGGGTGGCAACATGCAAAGCAATACAAAACAAAACGAGACGATACAATGCGATACGATACGATACAGCATTGCATTTAGATAAATATTTTCCAACAAAAGTTCAGCAGAATTTTTAATTAAATATTAAAATTATCACATCAGAGTACTTTACAATTTAAGAAAAATTGATCTTATAAGTTATTATTTCAGTTCATCTAAAATTATTCCAATTGCTAAGGTTTATAATATTTATCTCGCTTTTTTTTCATAAATTATATAGGTATTCAAAGTGTATTTTCAAAGGTTTCGTCTCTTTTAGATACTTATAAATATAATAAGAGTTTCAATTTTATACATCCTGGTGAATTTGATTTTCCATTAATAAAGCTAGTGTTTGTCGCAGTAGTATCTTGTTTGGAGGCACGCGGCCGTGTAATCAACTGCCCCTGCAAGCAAGACCTTGTATCAATTATAAACTTTTTAAGTCTGTTGTTTTTCCATTGAACACTTAATACATTACTGTTACTATTCTGTTTATACCGTCATCTATTAGAACATTTTATTTTATTTTGATGTTTAATTTTTTTATTATTTTTTCCCCTGTGTCTATGGTGGTCATACAAGCTTATGTCAAGCTAACGGTCTCCTGGCTGTGCTTGAATAAATTGAATTAATAAATAATATATATATATATATATATATATATATACGTATATATATATACGTATATATATAAACGTATATATATATATACGTACATATTTGCTGAAGTCCTTTCCAGAGAAATTAATTACTCAAATGTTACACAACTTCTCTTCTCTGTGAAGTCGATGTTTCTATTTACATAGTGTATTCAATATTTGCATCTTTTTTGAGTTTCTGTCCTGATCAAAAAAAATTTTACTTTCTGGAAGTTTTTCAGATGTTCAATTAATTTTTTTCGTTTTCTTGCGGATGTTCGTCAGGCTTCTCGGAACGAACGTCGCCGAATGAGACTTCCTCCATTTATGGACCCAATCTGTCTTATTAGTTTATTTTCAAAGCAAGTTTTTGAATTTATCAATTATTTACATCATGCACCTTGCAATAAATTTTTTCTATAAGGCCGAAAAATTAGAACTAACAAGTTGCCAGCATGAAAAATTCTGCAGAACTTTTGTTGGAAAATATTTATCTAAATACAATGCCATATTGTATCAAAGTTGAATTGCTACGTAATTCGATTCAATTTCGATAACCAAAATCGAATCAAACTTGAAGTCAAATATAAAAAATCTAGATTTGTTGGTGTTTAGCCTGAATCTAATAATAGATGATTTGGCCTTTAACTAAAACTACAAAAACTTTTATTTGGCTATGCTAGCTTCATTCAGGAAATCATATTTGAAGACGAAATTTCAACAAGCAGAATTTGGAAGTTTTCATGAAAAAACCAAAGGTGTTAAGCCTTTCAGAAACAGAATAGCAATTAATCATATCTGCAGACAGATATTTCACCACTTCTGGAAAGTTTCTCAACAAGCCATTTAAAAAACCGACACTAATTTAGCAGATCTTCAAATAGATACCGATAGAGTATGCATGTGTGTTTGTATAATTTTGTACTCACACGTATGTATAAATGGTGTATGTGTTTCTGTATAGATGTGTGTGCGCGTGTGCGTGCGGTTATAACTAAGCGAGTTTCTAAACGGGCATAGTTCAGCGCATCTCTGCATACACGCACATATTTTTATAGAGGCACGTACGAAGCACATGAATCTTTTCCCTGTTCATAATGGCACTTGGAAGATTTAAATGTCCTCCGTGTACAATTTCGTACGTCGGTCGGTTGTGCTTTCATCCGTGCGTGCGTGATGTACGCGTTTGTGGGTACGCTCTCAAATTTGAATGTTCACATTTATGTTTATGTTCATACGAACGAATGTGACATGTTTATGTGTATGTTGTATTGTATGCACAGTTGTATGTGCCTTCTTTTGTACAAGTTCTGTGCATATTTACATGCTTATTATTATTGAAATACCTGCTGAATAAAGTATGTTCAATATTTACACTTATTTTAATTTTTTTATTTTAAAATTTGATGAGACCAAATAAAATTTTATTTTTCTAAATGTTTGAGTTTTAATATGTACGTACATATGCAAATAGTGATATACAGTGTGCACATTTATGCATGGACGGACATAGTACGAGGGCTTGCATGCATGCATATATACAATTATACAACAAATGTATGTTGTATGTTGTGTATGCACGTTTGCACGATGCGTATAAATACATGAATGCACATACGCCGAGCTGTGAGGTGGCTTCAGATCATCGTATGCTCAACAATCTACATGCATCTTCATTCTCTACAATCTACTACTTCATTCTCTACTACTTGTCTCAGTTGAACGTTTATTGAAATGCAAACAAAAATGCTTTTTATGTAAACAGTTACTGCTATGAATACAAATGCTTTTGTTTTAAATTTAAAAAAAAGATCCTAACCTGAACAGTTTAGTTGTGAGTTCCTGTCCACAATATGATGTTAACGTTCGTTTGCTTAATTTATTTTTTAATTTAATATCCTAATGAGGAAAATGTCTTGTTGGGATGTTATTTATTGTCTCGAATTTATTTGTGAGTTTAATTTTCAGCAGCTTTAATGAACAATTTACTTGGTCAACAAATTGCTTACTAATTGAGATGAACGTTTATAACTTTCGTGCAGTGGGATGACTCGAACATCTCAAACGTGAGCAGCAGGAAACCATGCGAGACAGGCAGCCTCAGCAGCAGCGTCACTGACGACAAAGACATTGATGACATCATCGACATTGATGACGTAACAAACATCATAAACAACAATAATAAAAGCAACACAACTCACAACAACAACAACAACCTCAGCAACGACACCAACATCCAAGACAACATCAGCACCAACAAAAGCAATCTGTGTCGTCAGAAATGTTTCCAGTTGGACGAGGGAGACGTCAAAGAATCAGATTGTGAGGATTTGATTGACAAGTTGTTCAAGTTGCAAGCATCAAGATTCAATGACCAAAGATGTTCCTTTCCTAAACAACGACAACAACAGTTCTTACAAAAATCCAAGTGTAACACAAATTACTTCATTGGTAGTCAATGTGAACTGCAGCAAAGACTAACGACAGATCCACAAAAACTCCTGTGGAATAATAATCTCCAGCAAAGACGGCGTGTTCACTCCACAGAAATTTTATTAAAATTTAACGATTGCAACAAATACAAATCAACAACAATGAATCAACAGTATCGCATCAACGATGATTTTCAGCAAAAACAACAACGACTTCAGCAACAACAACTGCAACATAAACAGCAGCAGCAGAACAAGCAACAAGCGCAACTCAAACAACAGTTCAAAAAGCTTTCCTCTCCTGGAAAAAATGATGATCACCAATCTTGCTTTGTCTACCCAACATATCAACATCAAAAACAACGACAAACGCAACAATCAGAAGTAAGCAAACTTTTAAAAGTCACTTTTCACTCTTATTAAAAGTAAAACCGAAAAATTCACTCGATATCAGATGAATAAAACAGTTTAGATAAATGTTACTGTCACTATTTATTTAATTGAGGATAGATGTATTAACAACAACAACAGCAGCAACAACAACAACAGCAACAACAACAGCAACAACAACAACAGCAGCAACAACAACAGCAGCAACAACAACAGCAGCAGCAACAACAGCAGCAACAACAACAGCAGCAACAACAGCAGCAGCAACAACAACAATCATATCCTACCAACCGTCAAATTAATGCATCTGCTCATGTTTCTATCTTACAGTTAAATTTTTTATTTCAACAAGTGCCAGCATTAATGCTGTCAATTTCTTCAATAAGCAGCTCCAAGAATTTTCTACTATTGACACAGCAAAGACAAAAAAATCATACCAACATTGTGAATGTTGGCTAAATTTTCTGTGAATTGCTACTACACTAACAAGGCGTGCATTAATTATAAGAATTGCGTGTTGTAATATTAATTATTATATTTACGTCCATATTTGTGTTTTATACTATATTATTATTATTATTAATATTATTTTTATTATTATTACTATTATTATATTATATCAAATATCATATATCATATCACATCAAATATAATATCATATCATATATCATATAACATTAAATATCATATCGTATATCATATCATATTATAATATGTATCATAGACACCAGGACTTTTGCAAAGCCAAGTTTGAAGGGGAAGTACAAACACAAATTAGGCGAGATAAGATAAATTAGGTAATTGCTATCCCACAACAAGAGAGCCTTGTATCTGTCAGCCTGTAATTAGGTACATTTGCATACGTGAATGAATGTTTGTAAAATTAGGTAACGAATTTTCTTCCTATACAAATCTCAATAAATCCAAAATAATACAAATATAATACATTTATACAAAGCTCATTAAATGCGTTATAAAAACTTTACTACGTCACCTAACTTTACTAATATAACATCTCGACACCGAACGTAGATATTCATTAACGTGTAAAGTTTTTAAGTTTCAATATTAATATATTAAATAAGGTTATACAATAAATTAATAGTAATCTCTCGCTAATTCATTATAGTAACTAAAGAGTATAAGTATAAATCATAGTATAAATAGTACTGCATTTTACAATATTACAGTATAATTTAAGTAAAAGAATGTTATATAACTGTATAAGTTTACATAACTGTATAATACAACATACATACAACATACATACATACATGTATGTATGTGTATCTGTGTGTTTGCGCGCGCGTGTGTGTGTGCGTGCACTCTGTTTGCCTGTGATGCTGTGTTTGCTATTTGTATTGTTTTTCCGGGAGGCTGGTTGATGTCGTATCTCATTTGTTGTTGGTGTTGTATCTAATTGATGTTTGTTGTTGATGTTAAATTTCGTATTTATGGTTTTTGTTGTTGTTTTTGTTGTCATTGTCATTAAGGCTTTAATGTTATTTCATTTTTTAATTTATTGCCTTCTTCTTGTGTTCTTATAGAATTAACATGCCATCTGTCAAACTAATTTTGTGGCCTCTTTTTATAACTGTCGTCATTCTCATAGTGATGTCTAAGACTTTGTTTTATGTCAGTTTTATTTTAAAATAAATTTTGTTTTATCATTATCATTATCATTATTATTATTATTACTATTATCATTTTTTCATCGCTTCTCACAACGGATCATACAAATATTATCATTGTATTTAGTACATCGTCATTATCATCTTCGTAATGGATGGCTGTTGTGATGAAATGCATTGTTTGTGTGTGGCTAAGAAGATGATCACAAGATTCTACACAATGATGATTGATTCATGCATTGGTGAATGATTGTTAGGATGACGAATGGATGGATTTGATGAATGGAATGATGTAAAGATGAATTGGTTGTGATGAACTGATGAAATAATGAATTGACGATTTATATATACACTGTTAAAACATATCATATTATACGTATGAGCATGTGCGTTTTCTGAATAAACACATGCAATCGTAACACTACATACAAACACATACAAACAAACAAATACAGACGTACATTCAAATAAAATCACATACAAACAAATACAAATAATTTACAGAAATATAAAAATACAACATACAATTACATACAACATACAATTACATACAACATACAATCCCATATGACATACCTACAATCAAACACATCATACAATCACATACAACAACATACAATCACATACAACATACAATCACATACAACAACATACAATCACATACAATGTACAATCATATACAAACATACAATCACATGCAACATACTATCACATACAGCATACAATCACATACAACATACAATTACATACAACATACAATCACATATAATATACAACCCCATATGACATACATACAATCACACACAACATACAATCACATTAACATACAATCACATACAACATACAATTTAATACAACATATATAAACGAACATACGAGCGTAATATATTGCATCTTTTCATATTAGGAGCCCATACCGCGTTTAATTATAAAGATCAACCACAACGAGAAGAAATTTAGGCACTGGTATTATTATTATTTGCATTTGTAGTAGTATTGGTAGTAGTAGTAAGTTGTAGTAGTAGTAGTAAGTTGTAATAGTAGTAGTAGTAGTAGTAGTAGTAGCAGTAGTAGTAGTAGTAGTAGTAGTAGTAGTAGTAGTAGTAGTGGTAGTAGTAGTGGCAGTGGTAGTGGTAGTGGTAGTGGTAGTAGTAGTAGTAGTAGTAGTAGTAGTAGTGGTAGTAGTAGTAGTGGTAGTAGCAATAATAGTAACATCGTTACTTTTATTTATTCTGTATTATTATTGTAATCATTGTTGCTGTTACGGTTCACTTGACTGTTGACAGCACATTGCTGTTGTCGTCGACGTTGATGTTGCTGCTGTGTTTTTTGTTGTTGTTGTTTATTGTTATTGTTGTTGTTGTTGTGTCGTCGTCGTTGTTGTTACTGTAAGTTAGTTGTTGTTGTCAGTTAATTTTTCTATCTACTGCTGACGACAAATAGTTAATTGTGTGTGGACGTTTTTAATCATTGAGCGTAATTTTTATTGTCTCACTGGAGCTTATTATCTTCCTCATCCCATTGGCGGATGTTTAATTTTGCCTGATAAGAAGTTACACATAGACGCCATCGTGAATAGTCTCTAGTAGAATGTTAATGAGTAATTCACTTACCCTTGTAAAATGTTAAATTGATTCACTCATTCTTGTAAGAGATGTGAACCGTTTGCGAAAACATACTTGTGTCTCAGCAGTGCAGGCAGTCCTATTTACGCTCAAGTGACAAACACATCAACAGGGGGGGGGGGGGCCTGCCAAGCACGCACGACGATCTTATATCAGTCCGGCTATGTAAGACCAGAAAAAAGATGCTTAAATATTATGCAAATGCGTGAAATAAATCAATTAAAAAATAATCAAAATGAATAAAATCTTTAAAAAATGAATAAATATTTATTAATAAACTTAAAAAATGTAAAATATATAAAATCTGATGAATGAATAATTTGTTCTTGGTAAAAGAATGAGACCAGATTCTGAAGCACACTGAAATGTTTCGTTCGAAAGCCAGTATAGGTATATTTTATGTATCATATGCATATCAATGACCAAGAAATATATCAAAGACCATTGATATTGACCAAGTAACATATTATTGACCAAGTAAAATGACATTGACCAAGTAACATATTAACGGCTTAACTTACAAATTAATAAACTTTGCCTGCTTGCAGTTGTTAGTTGATTAATATTAATTCTTATATTCTTTATTTCTATGTGAAGTGAATTAAAAAGCCTAACTGAAAATGGTGCATGTTACTTGCTACATCGAAACTTCGTGTTAATGAACTGCCTCGGGTCTGGATGGAGTCGATAGGAAAGATAAGAACTTGCCGGGAGTGAGTTAGAAAAAATCCCGGTTTGATGGAAAAGATAAATCAAGATAATTTTTTAAGAAAAATTTTTTTTAGAGATGTATTGCAGAAAGAAATTAATGAAATATATTTATTTATTCCTGCGTACGAAATGAAATCACAGAAACTAAAAGTAAATGGAGAAAAAATTAATCAGTTGGTAAGAATCAAGGAAAAAATAGTGGGAGAAAGTGAGAAATTGAAGGGAAGAAAAAGAGTCAGGAAAGAGGAGAGAGAGAGAAGAGAGAAAGGAAGGAGAGAGAGAGTTTATGAAATTTGAAACGTGCATTAAGGTTATGCTCAAAAATAAATCTAACCTCATTGATATTTTTTCAATTTTCATGTATAAACAAACCATGCGTTGAATAAATAAATACTAATTTTTTTAAGTTTCATATATGCTCATTCATTCATTCGTTCGCTCGTTCATTCGTTTGTTTGTTTGTTTGTTTGATTATTCATTCATTTATTTTATTTTATTTATTTATATATTGATGTTTATGTGTTTGCATCTGCGTGAGATTGTGTCTAAGTATGGAAGGAACATCTTTTACATACATACATGCATTGCAAATAAGAATTTAGTTACAATGTTCACATCGCTTCACGAACACGTTAGCAGAACGTACATCTTTAAATATGTACGTACATACATGCATTGCAATCAACAGGCCACATCCACCTGAAGATTCCACATTATGTCCTCATCATCATCATCGCCATCATCGTGGATAACAAACTGAACATTTTAAAATTAAATTTTTATTAATATTTTATTGTAATTCTAATTTAATTCTACCATCCATCCATAGATTCCTTCATCCATCCATCCATCCATTCATTCATCCATCCAACCATCCATCTATTCATTCATCCATCCATCCATCCATTCATTCATCCATCCATCCAACCATCCATCCATCCACATAAAATTATATCTTTATATTAAAAATGAAATAAAATAATTATATTTGCAAAACATTATCTAAATTACGGTGATGAAATACCCTGGGACAGATAAAAGAAGTAATTGTTTCTTAATTGATGTG